TAAAAAGTGAATTTATTTGAATAAAAGAATTTTTTTTATTTTTTTATTTTTTTAAAAAATTGAATTTATTGTTAAAGGTATAATTACAGTCGCATAAACTAATAAAAATTAAAAAAAAATGAATTTATTTGAATAAAAGAATTTTTTTATTTTTTTATTTTTTAAAAAAATTGAATTTATTGTTAAAGGTATAATTACAGTCGCATGATAAATTATTAATTATATAAATATTTGAATATTAGATTTTAAAATACTAAATCTATTTAGATTTTAAAAAAAAAAGGTGTGAGCTTTTAACACTTTTTGTATGTGGCATCAACTACTGCCCTGACTTGAGGTCGAGGATATTACCTTGAAGTTGGCAAAATATGGCAAAGAGAAAGCAAAATAGAATGCAGGGACTCCTGGCTGAATCAGAACAGAGACAAAATTAGTAAACCATGAAGCCTCTTTAGCATCAACCCTGCGGGGGTTTCAATATGACTCTTGTTTTTTTCCTTTTAGCAGTGGAAGCTGCATCATTTTTTGCTTTTACATGTTTCTTCAAGTTGTGAATGCATGTTCAAGTGGATTCTATAATTGGGCACCCAAAATACTTCAAAAGCAAAGTTGGACTCTTGGTAGCAAATGAAAAATTGAGGAAGAGCAGAAGCTGGATGGATGGGAGAAAATGGAATGTAGTAAATTGATTCACTTTTACAAAACACACCCATGTATGAATGTGAATATGATATATTTTAAGCAAAGCCAAAGTGAATTTGATTCAGATTACCGATTTTAGTTTACTTTATGGGGGTTTGGATTCATGTTGACTCACTGCAAATATGCAATGGTGTTTGATTCAAGTTATCAAGCATGCAATGCTATTTGGAATTTCTTATGATCATCTTAGAAACAATAGATCATCACACTGCTTTCTGGACAAAATAAAACATTGCTTCAGGGCGCTGCAACAATTCAAAACCCTGTCTGTATATAAAGGCCGGACAAAAGAAGGGAAAACACAGCATACCACATATTTATAGAGATGCCCATGTTGATTACTGCCTGTGTATGATACAAATGAGAGTTGCTGAAGTTCCCTGAAGTTGCAAGCTAAGATAATATTTCTTATTCCCATCTTTCTGAATTTGAACCTAGTGATGTTTTGCCGTAACAGGGGCAGGACACTGGTAGCACTTGGCAAAGAGACCAAAGGTATCGACTTGGTTGATGAAATTTGTCACGCTAGCCCACCCTCCCAATCCAAATCCAACAACAAGAACCCATATCACAATAAAGCTATTCACCACATACATCCCTGTCCAGCTGCGGATGAAGATAGGCGGCTTCTCTGCTGCACTCTGCTCACACAAGAATTACCAGCGATTACTTCTTGTTTTTAAGATGATGTTCAGGGTATATAAGCTGCAAATTTCGTAGAGGATGAAGGTAGGAAGAGGAGGGATCGGAGTATACCTGTCGGGCAGATGCTGATCTGTAAGTGAGCATGTGAGCCAAAGCAGGGATGATATAGACGGTAAAGCTGACAAGAAGAGCCCCTACAGCTGAGTTTATGGGACCAAAGAAAGGGAATATGATGGCAAAGAACCATATTGGTATCACCACGGGCAATCGAATCAGTGCCCTTAAAAATATGCTTTTTGTGTCATGCATTCCCAGCACTTTCTCCCACACAAAATACAATGGTGTACAAGCAAACCCGAACGTTATAAACTGCAAATTTGGAATTAGAAACAACTTGCAATGTCAGTTTCACTAGTTCAGTGAGTATATATTGCTATAGAAATAAGTTGATTCGATAGAGACTGAACCTGGTGAATTAGCATTAGGATAACAGCTGCATCACGCCATCCAGTGTGCGGAAGGAGTGAAAAGGCATTGGAATGAGTAAGGAGTTGGTCGCCGAAGGCCCAGTACATGGCAATAGCCGATGGAAGGGTGAGGGTGAAGACATAAAGGGTGGCATACAGATAAATGTACTTGAACTTTTGAGGCTTCCACATTGCATGCATAATTTCACTGTAAACATTAAAGAAGTAATCCAAAGATTAGTTTTTCTCACAATTTGGTCAAAAGCAAGCAAAGAAAAGTATCCAGGTGCCACCACTTCCTTGTAAAGTTACAGAATTTTCCTAAAGAAAAGCATTAGAAAAACATCATCTAAAAAGTAGCAGGCCCCCCCCCCCC